ATTAGAGGATAATATGAAACCGAGCAAGCGTGCTGTAGCCGACGAAAGGTTATGCTCTAATAATTTTGTTAGTCTCTAAGGTGCCACAAGTACTCCTGTTCTTTTTGCGGATACAGACTAACACGGCTGCTACTCTGAAACAAGTTTTTAAGGGATGCCACAGCATAAGCACAGAGCATATATTATTATTATAAAGTTGGTTTTATTTTAAAAGTCTTCAAGCCACCAGTTTCTAGTTTACAAATTAGGCTGATGGTTTTTCAGAATTACTTTAAACAAGATAAAGTGAAAACCTGAGTGCTGTTATTATCTATACTTCTGCTTAGTCTTCTGTGGTCTAAACAAAGGATTTCATATGTACAAATTGGGCTAAATTTCTTTGGAGATAACATTTGAATTTTTTAATTAAAAAAAAACACATTTGTTAATTCAGTCTAGCTGCTGTTCAACATCCACTTTCTTTAGTTTTAGAAAATGTTTCTTGGGGAAAAGGCTGTAATCAGTTGTTTGCCCCTCTCCTCCCAAGGATGGTTTAAGAAAGGATCTCGGTGAGGAAGTAGTCTTAGTGCTTGTCTACAATTACAGCACCTTAGCACAGGGGTAGGCAACCTATAGCACACATGCCAAAAGCAGCACGCGAGCTGATTTTCAGTGGCACTCACATTGCCCAGGTCCTCGCCACCGGTCCGGGGGGCTCTACATTTTAATTTAATTTTAAATGAAGTTTCTTAAACATTTTAAAAACCTTATTTACTTTAAATACAACAATAGTTTCGTTATATATTATAGACTTATAGAAAGAGACCTAAAAACGTTAAAATGTATTACTGGCACGCGAAACCTTAAATTAGCGTGAATAAATGAAGACTCGGCACACCACTTCTGAAAGGTTGCCGACCCCTGCCTTAGCACTTAGTGAAGATGCTACCTACAGGAGAGCTTCTCCCATAGGCATAGGCACTCTACCTCCCCAAGAGGCGGTAGCTATGTCCACAGGAGATGCCCTCCCATCGACATAGGTTTAGGAAATACCTTCAAATGCAGAGGTTAGTAAACTGAAAATCTTATTTATCACAGGAAATTGGCAAATTGAAGTCCCACCACTGTATATGTATTTGGTTTTCGTTAGTTAATTTTTGTGCTATTCAGAAGATTTAAAAAAAAATTACTTTTACATTCTAAAATGTTTTTTCTTCTTTTGGTTGGATTCAGAAGACTGTGAGCTCCCTCTGCTGGCCCAGTATCAATTCGCTAACAAACCTGTCTCAGTGCTACAATATGCTAACAACAGTGTTGCTAATGGAAGCATCAAGAATTAAATATAAATTAGCAAAGGCCAAAATCTGAAGGAAAAATCCTTCTATTTTATTTGAGAAAACTACAAATAGAGAATGAAATAGATTGCTGTTTAAAAACAAAGCATCTGATTCTCCTCTCTGTGATGTACAGTGCAGCTGCTCTTAATTTACACAGGTCTGAGAGAAGAAACAGGCCCCAAAAAACAATGAGTGAGATCCTGACCCCACTGAAATCAATGGGAAAACTCCCTTTGACTTTAATGGGGCCAGGATTTCACCCAATGCCCTTATCATACGTCAGAGTTTTTAAAATCACTGGTACTGTGTAATTATCACTGTCTTCTGTATGATGGTTAATGATGTTAGTTTTGTTACAGGATTTGGTTCTTGAAAAGTTAAAGAGCCAACAGTTGTCTAGTGAAATGGACAAACTGAGCCAAGAGCTCGTGAAGATTGGATTGAACAAAGAGCTGCTGCTACAGGATGTTAATGGCAATGACAAGTGAGGAAACTGAGCTCTTTTAACAGTGTAACTCCATAACTCCTTAAACCTGCTAACCACAGCCTTTTGCTTTTTTCATTTTCACATTTTATGCCTCTCCCACTTCCACCCACTCGCATTGAAATCATGGTTTCATGTCGTAGACAAGAGAGACTACATGAAACCATTTGTCTTAGATTTTGTTTTCTAACAATAGCAAAGCCACTGTGACAAGTCTTAATGGAAATCATGCAGGCAGGCGACCACAGATGGGTGTTCTGTATCTACTTGAAGGAGAAGTGAATTCCAGTTCAATGGGCTGTACTGGTGACATTAACTTTGTAAAATCATTACATAGCTTCCTACTGCAGTACATTTGGATTACAGCTGTTTTGTGTCCCCCTATAAATTTAGCAGGTGGAGAGTAGGATTCTGACCTCTTACAGTGAGTTATACCAGGAGTAACTCCAATGAAGTCAAAGGAGTTTATACCCGTGTAGAAATTAGTGTGGGTTCAGAATCAAGGCTTGCATGTACATATCCACTTACCAGTTTTCTATTCACTTATCTTCATGAAACCTACTTCTGGAAACCCTTCTGGTGATTAGTGTCCTAAGTTGTGCCTTCACTTGAGAAGGGAGGTGGTTTTTAGATTTAAGATGGGTAACCATTTTTGCCACCTGCTAACTATATTTATAGTTGAACTCTGCTGGCAAGGTAAAAGATGTTGTATTTGACCATTATCCTTTATATGGTGCATTCCATGCCTCTAACCTTTAAGTGGTGATCCACCAGATGTGAAAATAAATACAACGTGTAAAGGTGTGGCACGGAACATCCCTGATGGGCAAGTCCTATAGAATTTAACAAAAAAGATATTTTCTATAGGCTTTTTGAATTGTCCTATAGAATTTAATGGATAATTATATCCTTAATGCAGAATTTTGTAGGGTTGGGTTTCCCCCGAAGCTAAAGAAATCCACAGCAGGGATATAATTTTCTATTAAATTCCACAGTGTGGTTAGGAAGAAAATTAGAAAAGTTATTCTATATTGAATTCTGTAGTTTTTGTTTCTTCTATAGAACTTAATTGGTTTTATTCCATTAAAATCTGTTAAACTTTCCCATAAGCAATTTTTTTCCTCCTTAGTTATCTTTCAATTTACTTTTGTCCAAATGCAAAAATATAGATTAGTGATGGAAACCAGGTGTATATGAGAGCAAATACATGTTATTGTGAGATATATGATGTGGGAGAGAAATGTCTGCAAGCCGGATGGGTGCATGTTTTCCAGTGACAAATGTTGGAATGTTGTTCTCATTGTCTTTCAGCAAATATAAGATTCTGGAAAGCAAAACTGACTCTGCATTAAAGACAACACTAGCCATTAAAGAAGAAAAGATTGTATTGTTAGAGGCTCAAGTGGAAGAGTCTCTTAACTTGAATCAGCAGTTGCAGAATGAGCTTAATACGGTAAGAGGAAACTTCATTTTAAGGTGTAAGGTTTAGCTATTCTATAGGTTGGCATGGCACATGCATTTTTACCCCAGAGGAACAGATAGCGCCAAAAAAAAACCCCCTATTTGACTTAAATGCCTTCTATCATATCCTAGCCAATAATAATAATAATAATAATTAATAATACCGGCATTATTGTTTTTTTGGAGTCCGGGATGAGATTTTCAAGAGTGCTCAGGTTTGACTTAGTCCTGTTTCCTTTAGAAGTCATGGAGTTTTACCACTATCTGTTGTCTCTTGTCTTATGTTTAGATTGTAAGCTCTTTGGGGCAAGCACCACCTTTTTGTTCTGTGTTTGTTCAGCACGTAGCTCGGTGGGTTCCTGGTCATGACTAGGGCTCTTAGGTGCTACAGTAATACAAGTAAAAATAATAATCTTCAATGAGAGCAGAGTTCTGCCAATGTTGAATGCTTTTAAAAATCCCCACACCAGGTATCGCCTTTATATTATTTTTATTTATTAGGAGGCAGGGAGTTCAAGTGGAAAGGGCACCTGACTGGGAGTGAGGGATGTGCATTCTTTTCCTGATTTATAATTTCACCTCTGTGTCTCACTTTCCCTATCCATAAAATGTGAATAATGATACTCCCCCCATCTTTTATAAAGTATCTTGAAATCATGAGAGAGAATTCTGCATAAGACCTAATTATTATTATTAATGTTTTATTTATTTGAGTGTGCTGCAATTACTTTCCAAAAAGCCAGTTTTACAAGCATATTTCTTATCTACTTCACAGATAAAGAAGGACTTTGAAGTTCTTAAGCAAAGTCAAGAAGATGGGCAATGTGTGCAGAACTCATTAAAATCTCCTGCAGAAAAACTCATTTCCAACCACCAGATGAAAGAGAAATGGGAAACGGGACACCGAGAAACAACAATGGAGCTGTTGAAAGTGAAAGACAGGGCTATAGAGCTGGAAAGGAATGTAAGTCTTCTCCTTCAGGATGCAGGTATAAGGCATTTGGGGATGTTTGTGTCATTTTTTAAAGTAGGAAGCAACCCCGAGCTCTGTGTATTCAGAGAGGATCAATGGTACAATGGTCAGAGTGCTAGCCTGGGACTCAGGGATTTGATTCCCTGCTCCACCACAGGCTTCTGGGGGACCTTTGGGAAGTCTGTGCCTCAGTTCCCCATCTGTGAAATGGGGCTGATAGTCTCACAGGGGTGTTATGAGGATAAATACATTAAAGATTGTCAGGAGCTCAGATACTATGGTAATGGATCATACAAGTACTACAGTTTGGAATAATTTTATCATTGCAGGGGAAATTTACCCATGTGCAGAGAACCAACACCAGGCCTATGCACCACTTAAGCCCTCACCTTAGGGGCTATGTGGGAGACCCATGTCACATGGGTCTTGTGCTGGCCTCTGTCCAGGGGTGAATTTTGCACCATAACCTCTATTCGACCTTTGATTTAATGCTGTGAAGTATTTGCTACTAAAACTTCATGGCTTAAGGGGTATCAGAAGTTTTTTCTCACCTTTGATAGGGCTCTAACTAATCAGAACAGCTGTTTAATTTTTTTCTCCCCCCACACCTCCATTCTATTTCTCTGTTAGAATGCAGCCCTCCATGCTGAGAAGCAGCTGCTTAAAGAACAGCTGAAGCATTTGGAAATGCAGAATGTCTCTTTCAACAATCAGATCCTGACACTACAAAAGCAAAATGTCTTCCTTCAAGAGCACAACACTGCTCTGCAGACCCAAACAGCCAAGCTCCAGGTCAGAAGAACCAAATGCCAATGTCTCAGGAAACTTTGGATTTGATTTTAGTTGTGTAGAGAGGATGGAAGCTGAGAAGGAAGATTTCAGTGTTGACAATAATCAGATGGTGCTGAAGCAAGGGAATTCAGATTCAGATCTGAATTTTCTTCAAATTAAAACGGGTTTGGATCCAAAATTTCAGCCTTGGCTCATCACTATTAAGAAATTGCTATTTATAGTACTTGGGAAGAAGTAATTACCATATACACTCGTTCATAAGCCAAATATTTTTGGTAAAAAAAAGAGGCATCAAAGAGCAGGGGTCGGCCTGTAAATGGGTCTACACCAAAATTTGATGATTTAAAACTCTATGGAATCATTGAATTAAATATCTAATAGAGGGATTGGCAACCTTTGGCCCGTGGCTCACCAGGGTAAGCAACCTGGTGGGCCGGGCCGGTTTGTTTACCTGCCGCGTCCACAGGTTCGGCTGATCACGGCTCCCACTGGCCGCGGTTCGCCGCTCTAGGCCAATGGGGGCGGCCAGCACATCCCTTGGCCTGCACCACTTCCCGCCACCCCCATTGGCCTGAAGCGGCAAACCACAGCCAGTGGGAGCCGCGATTGGCCGAACCTGCGGACACGGCAGGTAAACCGGCCTGGCCCGCCAGGGTGCTAAAGTTGCCGATCCCTGATCTAATACATTGTAGTTTTGTTTACCTGGAGCATCTGCAGGCTCCTCAGCTCCCTGTGGCTGCGGTTCGCCGTTCCCAGCCAATGGAAACTTCCCACGCCACTTCCCGCAGTTTCCATTGGCTGGGAATGCAAACCGTGGCCACAGGGAGCCGAGGGGTCCATGCCTGCAGATGCTCCAAGTAAACAAAACGTCCCGACCCGCCAGCGGCTTACCCTGATGGGCCAGGAGCCAAAGTTTACCAACCTGTGAAATATAGGGTCGGCTTATGAAAGGGTCATACAGTTTTTGCTATTTTTACCTATCCATTTTGGGGGGTCAGCTTATAAACAAACGGGCTAATGAACTAGTATATACGGTAGTTATCCAGTTTTGCTATTCCAGCTAGCCTATCATATATTCTTTCTTCATGTTAGTTCTTTTTTTCTTTTCCTATTGTGTCCCAAAAAGAACTTTCCCCGGGGAAGTGAGAATGGGGCGGCATATCCAAATCAACATATTTCAGTTTTCAGTCATTTGATTTCTTGATGGGAAAAGCAGAAACTTTTGGAGAACAATTTCATTTAATTGAAAACCCAATTTCCTATCGAAGCAGTTTCAATGGAAACTTTTTTTAACTAGCCCTACTCTGCCCTCTTCTTCAACTTTACTTTCTTCCACCTTTTCAACATGCACTTTACACCAGTTTAGATTCACTTAGTCCTACTCATAACCACGTGGTCACCACAAAGCCAATGTACCATGTAAGTACCAAAAGTGAACTTAACTGAGATATAGATTTCATACTGGCCCCCTGCAAAGTGGTGAATTTCATCCCCACTTGCATTAGATGAAATTAACAAGCTTCCATTCAGTTGTATACAAACATGGAGCAATTTCAGTTCTTGTACACTCTTGTCGGAGTTATACATGGGACCCAAATGTTCCAGGTTACTTACCTTTCACAAATCTAGTCTTAATATTGCTGTACCAGCTTTGAGATTGTCTTGCTACAGGACAAACACTGATCTCACGTATGCCATGACTTCATATCCTGTACATTACCAGTAATACTAAAAGGTTGCTCAAGTGTCCTTTCCAAATTTCTTCATATTCTCAATAACTGTAAAAGCATCTTTTGTGTATGTTTACCCATGTCTGAGTGTACACTGCATAGCATGTCTGTGGTGTGTACCAGCATTTGTATATAAATATTACTTTTTATTTGAGAAACTTTAGGTAGAAAATTCAACCCTGAGCTCCCAGAGCACTTCACTGATGGCCCAGAATGCTTTACTCCAAAACCAGCAGACAGCTAAGGAAAATGAGAATGAAAATCTACTGAAACAGAAAGATCAGCTAAAAGCTGAATTCGAGTCACTGCTGCAGGATCACGAACACTTTGCCTCACTGCATGAGCGACAGTCCACAGAATATGAAATACTAATAAAGCAGCACAGCTGCCTGAAAACATTGCACAAAAATCTGGAACTGGAGCACAGAGCTCTTGGGGAAAGGTATGAATTTTTAAAATACATTACGATGTGCTGAATAGTCACTAATAAGGGAATTACAGTTCAGCAGTACCCAAGGGAATTGCATGGCTGGTGTGTGCAAAGTACTCATGTTGCAGATTTCTATTTTCCTTTTTGTTCTCTGAGAGTAGACATAACTAGCATTTCATTAGAGTTATTCATTGCTTCTGGAAGCCTTCCTTCCTATTCTTACTTTCATCAAGGGGTTAAGATTGGAAACATAATCACCTGCAAAGGAGTAGGTGTTGCAAGAGGGTGAATTTGGGAATTACCAAGCACGTGCCTTTCAATGAAATGTAGGATCCTAAGTGTCTAAGCACTTGTGAAAATGGGACTTAGGATCCTTGATCATTTAGGCACTTCTGAAAATTTTGCCCTTAAAGTCTTTAAAATGTAGACCCTTAAAAGATTTCCCTGGTCCTGTTTTGTGATGGTAGAGTCACAGGGTAAAACCTCTAAATCAGCTAATTAATTAGCAAAGTGAGAATGATGCGTATCTTGAGAACAATATTGTGAAACAATATGAATCACTGAGAATTGTATGGAGGAAAGATCTGGATTATTGTGACAAAAGAGGTTGTCTTAGAGCAGTGGTTTTCAACCTGTGGTCCGCAGACCAATAGGGGTCTGCAGACTAATTCCTAATATTTCCAAAGGAATCCACACCTCCATTTGAAATTTTTTAGGGGTCCACATATGAAAATAGGTTGAAAACCACTGTCATAGAGGCTATGTCTGCCCTGCAGTTAAACACCTGTGGCTGGCCCCTGTCAGGAGGTCACAGAACTCACGCTGTGGGACTGTTTAATTGCAGAGTAGATGTTCAGGCTCTAGCTGGAGCCTGGGCTCTGAGATCCTCCCACCCGCAGGACCCTAGAGCCTGTACCCCATCTCTAGCCCAAACGTCTACACAGCAATGAAACAGCCCCACGACCAGTGAGCCCGAGTCAGCTGGCATGGGCCAGCCGCAGGTTTTTCTTTGCTGTGTAGACATACCCTCAGAGGCCCTATTGGATAGATATAAATTATGTTCTTTATATTTTTTGTTTTCCTTCTACTTTTCACCATCTATGCCATTTAGGTGCTTCAGTTTGCACAATGAAATTAGACTGATCTGTTTCACTTTTAGTTGCGAGTCATTTTCACTTTCTGGTGATCGTGTATTGGTCTAATACTCGAATGTGTTTTTCCCCACTCGCTGCTCTAAAAGGAAAAAAAAACAAAGAATTTTAATTTTAATGTGTTGATTATTTTTCCCAACATATCTGTATTTTTATATAAAAGCGAAACTTGAAGCTCAGATTAAGTTGACAATGTCCTAGGAAGTGAATTAATAGAAACTTTTCTTTCCTAAACTTGAAGGATCTGGCCATGCAATGTGCAGCAGGATTTGATAGGGGTACGTGCTGGGATGAAAATATGCATCAGAGCTCTATGACAGGACAGCTCCCTGACTCAGCTAAATGAGCTATAAGTGATTACACAGGCACCCATCCCTGCTTGCTGTGTCTTTCACAGACTGATTAATGGTTCCCACTGATGTGAGCCTTGCCTTAGCTCATCACACTGCTATGTGCAAAGACAATTTGCTGGCTGACTTGTTTTCTTGATGAGTATCAATAATTAAATGGTTGCAGCCTGAGGAGTCAGTGGTTTGCTGAAAAATACGTTGTTGTCACTGATAAGTGCTCTGATCGTCGGTGATAACGTTTCAAACTCTCTTGCTCCAACTATTGCTGGGATGTAACTACCAGTGAAAAATGCTGGCGTGGAAACAGATGGTCAGCTTTTGTGGACTCAGAACAGACTGATTTAGGCAGTTTTAAGAGTAGGATGCGCTTCTCCATAATCTCATCTCATCTCAAGTCAAGTTGGGAATATATTAGTCAAGGTGATTTGTGTAAGGCCAGCCTGTATCTTTGTTCAGCTGTCAGAAAAAAATATACATGTCATATTTTTTTTAATCTGTGTGCAACATGGGGCACCACTGGCTGAGAGCAGTCCGGGGAGGAAGTTAGCAAAATAGCAGGCAGCAAAGTCATCTGTTTTTTCTTCTGCGACTCAGGAGGTATTTAACTGATGACAGGAAATTTCTCATTTTCACCTTCAACTAGGATGCACCACCCAGGAAGTGCACACAAAATTTGTAAGTGCTCCTCAGCATGTCCAGTAGGCATGAAGTAACTGTCTACTCTAGAACGTGTCTGGACAAGATTTTCTTTGTTCCAGGCAATAGGTTTTTTTTCTCAGATGATGATCCCCTCCCCCCCCCCCGGACGGCTATTTATAGACCGAAAAGCCGGACATGTCCGGGGAAATCCAGACATGTGGTAGCCCTAATCATGAATATAGATCCTAGTCCCACCACATAGGTTGTATCTAAGTTCAGTGAAATAGTCTGCCAAAGCCTAGCCATACACAGAAGCTGTGGGTTTGACTTGGCAAGGAAAGGAGTAGTTGACATGTTACAGGGCGTCTATTAAAAACATTTTTTTTATGCTGTCGTGTGTTTGGCTGGCTTGTGCTGAGAGGAACTGGATCCATCTTCTGCATTTTTTGAGTACTTTGGATACTACTTATTACTAAGGAATCATAATAACTAGCCACCACTGCTAGAGATTACACAGTTCTGTATGGCTTGCTGTGTAGAAACCTGTAATCCGTCACAGATATTGAAATAACTCTTCCCACTGGAGAAAATAGGTCCTGCCAGGCAGGGTTACATGCTGCAGGGACTTGCATTATTAACTTACCAAGGCTGGTTGGTAATCCTGCTTGTGGGCTGTTTCTCATCATGGCTGTGCATTTTAAAAATGTTCTCAGTCACAAATATCCACTCATAGTATCAGTACAAACACAGCAGCAGCAAGTGGAAGCCAAGTAATATTGTCAGAAGGAGTGTAGAGGAATACGGCCATTCAAGTCCTTGATCAGTGTGGACTGAATCAGTACTGGGATGCACTTGGTCTGTGCCTAGAGTGAAATCTTCCCACCATTGGACTGGCACCGGTGCTACACCAATGGTGGGAATACTAGTGAAGACTGGCCATTGACTGATTTACCTGTAGATTGTCTAATTCTGCTCAGAGTTGGACACCTGGTGTAAAGCTGCTGGTAGCAAATCTATACTAGTGCCAGTCAAGCTGCAGAAACACGAGGGCAGTGATAAGAGTTTCTGAAAGGCTCCATACAGACAAGGCCTTGATGACCTCTGTCAGGATATTGACCTAGAGCTGGTTTGGTCAAACTCTGGGATTGACATGGGCTGTCTTTCGAAAATAATTCTTGAAGCAGGACATAAGTCTCAACTAGAGCCAAGATGCAAAGGCAAAGGATGAGGTATAAAGAAAGAGGATTGTGTTTAAAAAAAAAAACTTTAAATCCATAAATGTTTTCACAGAAGAGAAAATAATTATAGAATCATAGGGTTAGAAGAGACCGCAATGGTCATCTAACCTAACCCCTAATACCTCAGGTTTACATGAGAAACTATCCCCCACATTCAGGATCTTCCATTCATCATGTGGATGCTGAATGCTCAGTATTTAAAATGTCCTGTAGCTGAATGAGAGAAATAAACAAGGTTAATTCAACTCCATCACTGCCCCTGGTGATGAATAGTAAAGAGCAGCCTTTTGTCTGGTAGACAGGTACTCCTCTGTGAGGCGGCTCACTGGGCTGGAATTTGGAACAGGCTGTAATGTGACCCCTGAGGGAGAGGGATGGTATCCTGAAAGAGAAATAACTTGGCAAGAGTCAATACATTTGGTGCTTCTTTTTCTTTTGTTTTGTTTTTACTGTTTACTGTGGCTGCAAAGTAACTATCCTTGGTCTGCTTTCGCCTCTCTTGAAATGAGAATTGCCAATGCCTGGTTGGATGAATGCAGTGGAAGACTATTTGTTCACTGTACCTTTTTAATGTACTTCTCTATCCTCTGTTTGGCTGCTGTTTTGACACTTCTTATAACAGTTCTTCCATGAATCACAGCAGATATACCTGCCCCAGCAAGAGCATGCTATGGGGGTGAAAATCTGCTGTCCCACCTCCAGCAATGGTTACACACCATTGTCACACAAAGCTGTGCTAAGTCAAGACACTGGTCATTTCCACTTCACTGAGCCAGATTCCTATATAGTCTACCCCAGTTTATGCAAACGTAAACCTTGACAGAGGACCCCAGCTGCAGAAAATCCACCTGAGAACAATTTACTACAGTGCAAAGTGGCCATAACCTGCCTTATGTCAGGGTGGCAGTAAGGGACTAAGTGTGTTATCTGAGAAATGGGCAGCCATGGCTTGGAAGGGGCACTCAACCCCCTCATCCATGCCTGTCTCCTTTAGACATTAGGGAAATTGTTCCACCGTGCCAGCAGGGTCAGGAGAGATGTCACTATAAAGCTAGGTATCCTCAGTACAGAGAAGACACAACTGTGCCTTCTCACTCCCTTCCTCACGCCCTTGATGGAACCATAGGCAAACTGAACAAATCAGGAGGTGAAATAGAATGCTGCAGAGTGGAGGCCTCAGGGCAAATAAACCCCTGTGCTACCCTCTGGGATTTCTCATTAGCAAACAAGCAGAACCATTTGAGCAACCACTACAAAAGGCTACAATACTTCAACAACACTCCATTGGCATTCGTGTCATGATCACATTGTCTGCCTCCTATATATAATATTTGAGGGTTGATATAAGTAGTTGATTTCACTCCTTTCTTGTTCTTGGCTGCCTCTTTATGCTCTGCACAGATGCTTTGGGACCTGCTCCTAGTAATTGATTCTGAATGGTGTGTTGGGGTAAATAGTGCAGCACTGTCTGGGAACCTTCCCTTTAGGTTTCCTTCACCCCAGAGAAATCCTTGCTTTGTATTAGTTGATCAGGAGGTACAGTGATCACAGTTCTTACAACTTGCATTTCAACTCAGTCAAAAATATAATTGTGCAGCCTCCATATAGGATTATACACTAGCCTGAATTCACTCACTCACTATAGATTTCTTTTGAACTCAACTAAAAATATATATATTGAAGAAGTCTTGTTTTCGGATAGATGCATTTTTATCTACTGAGAAATCTTGTGCTAAAGGAATAAAACTTTGTAGGCAAAGCCCAGAAGATGCTTATTCGTCTCTTGTAGGTACAACAGTTTAGTAAAACACAAGGCAGAATTGGAAGAATTGGAAATTGTTCTAAAAACCGAGAGAGAGGTTCTGCAGCAAGAAAGGAGAACAAATGCAATAGCCACTGGAGAAAATCAAAAGATGAGAGAAGAACTGGACAGGTATGGCTGCTTGGAACTGTGTTTTGCATATATTAGTAAAAGTTAAATCCTATGCAATATAGACTTGCTCTAATCCACTGTTGTGCTAACATAAGGTTCCTGGAAGCCTTCATCAGTGTGTCTAGTCATAACAGAATTTCTGTTCCCTAATAGCTCTGTTTTGTTAATCTGCTCATGTTTGCTTAATCGCTGGTAGATAATCAGCTTTCTAATAATTGTAAATGGGTACTGTTAGTCAGTGATTCAGATGTAGTCTGCTGCTGTGACTTGCACTCATTCCAGATAGGCTGGGGCTATGGTTTTTGTTTGCATGTGTATTTGTTTTATAAAGGGTCTACTGACCAAATTCTGTGCTGACTTCTGGCCATTGCAATCTCATGAAAATCCAGGGGATTGCACGGGGCATAAATCAATGTGGAATTTGCCCCATGGTGGGGAACAGGAGGAACATGCCTTCCAATTGTTGAGGAATCACTAGAGGGTGCTTTGTTACAAAAAGTTTGTAGAAAAAATGTAGTATTCAGTGTCAGCTGAAATTGCTATCCAAATACCCAATATTGTCTCCCTTACATTTGTAACTATATTATTTCTGATTTGTTCTGGTGGCCTGGTGCCAGGAGTTAAAGCTCTGATGTTCCTTATTTTAAATTGTAATAGCCTGTCCAGACTAGCAACACTGTCAAGGCTTAAGTACAAGAACTAAACATGGTTTAAAAGTGGGCTCAGTAGTTTGTATACTCACTGAGCATATTTTAAACCATGCGGGAACCCACTGAGCAGGTTTAGACAAGGTTGGTAGCACTACAGTTGTGCTACCAGTGAACCTGCACCGTTCAGGCGGGTTCATGGGGAAATTTTAAGAAGTAGCTTGGTGTAAGCAAGACCTGCGGCTTTATGTCTACATCATAATTTGAACCATGGTTAAAAATCAAACATTCTTTGAGTTTGCTGAAGATATACCCTTATGCTGTTCTCATGGAATGTAGGTTATTGCACTACTGCTGTGCAAGCCAGGGTTCTCTGAGCTTGCTCTTTTCAACCATGGGTCATTTTCCTATGTGGACAGGGCTTGGGAACAGTGTCCCAAAATTGCAGAGGGTTGGGGGAGAAGTAGGTTTGTTTGCTTTATTTGTCAACAGAGTCAGAATTCATTCCTTTTTTTTTTTTAAAGGCATCCATGAATAGTAGATATTTTTAGCATCACTACTGACTTAAAAAAAACAACAACAACCAAGTTGTCTAATTTAATGAAGTCTTGCAATGTCTATGACATACATTGCACAATAACACTTACATTTCATGCATCAGGAAAATAAATTCCAATGGATAGTTTTTACCTGTGCCCAGTGGGGCTGTTTTTACATCAGAATGCTTTTAAAAGTATTTTTATCGTGGAAACTTGTAACCTATCCTAAATGCGTACGTACCAAAGAGGGGTAGTAAGCATTATGCTCTGTATTCTTTTCCTTTCAATTCTTTTGTAGAGACGGAACGTTTTGTAACACTGTCGGTGCTGTAGCAAACATGTAAGATACGATCAAGTAAAGATATATTTAAAAATTGGCCTTGACAAATTCAGTTTAGATTTAACAACCGTGGCTCAGCATACTGGTATTGTCTTTGTTGTTAATTATTATTTGTAAGCTTCCTGGTTTCTTCATTTTCAGGGTAAATTTCTTGCATAGCCAGCTAAAGGCAGAGTATGAGGGGCTGCATGCACACACTAAGGAGCTGAAAACCTCATTGAATAATTCTCAGCTGGAGCTGAACCGCTGGCAGGCTCGCTATGATGAACTGAAGGAGCAGCACCAGTCCATGGATATCTCCCTGACCAAGCTTGATAACCACTGTGAGGTGAGCATTTAGCAGCAGGACATTTTCCCAGCCTCTCCAAAGGGGCCACCTCCTACTATGTTAAAAGGGCGTCTGTGCCCCAGTCCTTTGGAAATTGTTGACCTTGAGCTCTAAGCAACAGAAGAAAATCACCTTCGGTTAAGTTTTTTCCGTTGAAATGGAAGCCAGACTTGCAGCTCAGCTGCCTCTCATGCCGCGCATTTGCATTATTACTTCCAAGGCAGGCACATCAAAGAGGTGATGCGCTGTCCGTAGGGAAGAAGATTTGGTTACGCAACACTGAGTAGCAGGAAATTTGCACTGTAGATGTTGCTCCTTGGGGAGTATGTGTGGTGTGGGCTGGGGCAGAGCAGGAGAAAAAAGCTTTCAGAGGGGGCTAAACCCAGAGGCAGGAATTATTTGGAAGGTGAAGAATCCTCTGACTTCCTGAACCAGCTACCCCTCTACCACCTTCCTGTGCTGCTTGCCCTTGCAGTTGAGGACCCTGGCTTGAGGACTAGTGTTTTGTCCTTAACCCGATGACTACATTGAATTCTTCCACATGATTGAAACAGTGACAGCCAGCATGAAGGAACTGATAAGACCAAGAGTATTTGCCTGTGGTAAAAGTTGTACATGGTTTATTTACCAAAATATGAGGGAGGGGGAGAAATCCAGTTACCTCTTGGCCTTTTTGGCTTTGAATGAGTTCTAAACTGCTGGCTAAAGATGCGCGTCTGTTGAGTTGGATTTCCTACCACATCTTTTTAGGGCACAGTCCTACAAAGTACTGAACACCCTCAGCTCCCCTTGCTTAAGTGGGAGTTGAGGGTGTCCAGTGATGCTCAGGAGATACTCAGCACACTGCGGTTCTGGACTTTGGGGTAGCAGTAGGGGCAATATTAGCAAGACACAGCTGGAGAGAGGGAAGTACAGGATATTGGGAAGCAGGATGATCTTGTAGGTAAGGCACTGAACTGAGATTTGGGACACTGGGTTCAGTTCCTGGTTGTGGTATACAGTCCCTGTGTGACCTTGGCCATGTCACTTAATCTCTGTGCTTCGGTTCCCCATCTATAAAATGGGGATACACCACTCCCCTACTCCAAAGAGGATTTCTGAGGACAAATTACCACAAGAGATGGGCTCAATTCAGGAATCACTGAAGGAAATTCTTTGCCCTATGTTATGCAGGAGGTCAAATTTAGTGATCAGAATAGGCCCTTCTGGCCTTAAAAGTCTCTGACTCTGTACCCAGGTAATTCTGTACTCGTACTAGTTTATTATATTGCATTCAGAGTGAAGCCAAGTGCAAAAGGAAAATTCACCTCTTATTCTGTTGACTAGCTGCTTACCCGTCTAAAGGGAAATCTGGAAGAAGAGAACCATCATCTCCTGAGCCAGATCCAGATGCTGAGTCAGCAGAACCAAATGCTACTGGAGCAAAACATGGAGAACAAGGAACAGTATCATGAAGAGCAGAAGCAATACATGTAAGAGACTAGAAATATTGACTTTTGGCAACTAGAAGTAATCTGGTAGGCAAGAAAAGAAATGGTGAGTGTGGAAAATGGAAAATGTTATATATCAGAAGCAGAAAGACCAAAAGAACTGGTGGGCCCACTGGATTCCCCAGGTAGGTAAAGGACCATTTAAGGAGAATAAAGACATTGTAGAGAAGCTATATCTTTCCATGCCTCCACCACAGAGGATTCTGAGGAGATACCTACCCTAGACCAGGGATAGTCAATAGTTGGGCCGCAGGCCACCTCCGGACAAGCAAACGCTTTTGAATGGACCGTGAAATCTTTTTATTTACATATTGTTATTACAGTGTGAAAAATGTTTCTTTGGAGTACGGACCTTGACTATACCTTGTCCGAGAAATTTGGACTTTGACAAAAAATAATTGACTGCCCCTGCCCTAGACCAACTCTTTTCAAGTAATAGAGATGAGGCTCTGTGAGATGTTGAGGGGTGAAAACAGGAGATGCTGAAACCAGATGATAAAAGAGCAGCATCCAAGAGCTCTGAAGGAACTTAAGAACAAAGCGGCTGACCTGCTAACAAACACCTGTAGCCTCTCATTAAAATAAGTACAATACTGGAGCAGTGGCAGATAGCATGTGTTCCAGGCACTAAACATGGGATGCCGCCAATTAAGCAATATTTAAGATCATTTTAGTAATTTATATTACCATAAATATTCAACACAATATTCTTTTAAAGGACACAGTCTCTAAGGGTCCAAGTTCTTCATCCACTTTCACGATCTCGTTTTTAAATAGGCTGATTCACTGAAGTATGGCACTGTTTCCTTCTTTTTTACATCTACAGACAATCTAATCTTCACAGGGATATGTGGGCTCTCCCTGTACTACAGTGAGGATGAACAAAATACATTCTTGTTCCTATCTAGGGTAGATCCTTGGATTTACAGACCCAGGTGCTAGGAGTGATCCTGGGAATAACTGAGTTTTACTTCAGTACCAGGAAAAATTATTGAAATTGTGTTTGTAAATGAAACACCTGGATGAACATATGACAGAGACAAACCAGCCCCACTTCTGAAAAGAAAAACTGTGCCTGTAGATTTGCTAGCATGTCAATTAAATGGTAGCTAAAAGAACTGGGAGAAATATTTTAGCATTGTAGCATGACTCTCTGGAAACATTGGCGTTGTTCAAAATACAAGGCATTTTGGTTTCCTACATCCTATCTTCTCTTTATTGAGACCGTAACTGGTGAGCCTTCTATCTATGACAACTGTATCAAACTGACCTGTCAGTTTGTTTTCCCAGATTGTTAGTGAATAAGATCGCTAGGGTTAAATTACTTCTGCTGCTTGAATGCACTGGATAAGAAGGCTTTTTGATCTGTAAAGATCTAACCTGTACGATGACCTCTTTCTTCTCCTAGTGATTGTTGGCCTTGCCCTTCCATTTTGAAACCATTTGTGAAATCCAAGCAAATCCTTCAAGATCTACCTTTTTGTTTTTTATTTTCACAGTGATAAATTAAATACATTAAGGAGACACAAAGAAAAACTGGAAGAGAAGATAATGGATCAGTACAAGTTTTATGATCCTGCTCCAAAAAAGTAAGTTCCCTTCCATTTCAGTGCCACTATTGCAATACAGAATTGAGGAAAAAAAAGGGGCTCTTCATAGCCGGAGAGGACCAAAACCCTGTGACTCCCTGTCAGGAGAGGTGACAAAGAGAGCAACTGGTGTGTCTGCTCATCACTACGCTCTCCTCCTCTCACCCCAGAAGCCTCTTGCTTTAATTGGGATTCTCCTTGATGGGAGCCTATTTGTTGTCTCCCACAAACTCCATCGGACAGCCACACAAAAGTTAACTGACTCAAGCAGCAATCCTGCTTTAGCATGTGCTAACATAGACCCCTGTGCACATGTGGAGTCCCAGTAACTTCATATCGGGATCTGAGTCAATATAAGCTTCTACAGGGAGTCATTTTGCCCTGAGGAGTACCTTCTTCTTCCTCCAGGAGTGAGCTTCAAGCAGCAGAACCCATCACTGTGAGGGAGCCGGGGGCGGGGACAGAACAGTGCCTCCATTGGTGCTTTAATGCTTTCCTGAATCGGGAAACTGTTTATTAAGTAAAATCTCAGATTCATCTATTTAAAAGACCAATCCCTAAACCTGCTTCCTGGTAGCAGAGGAGAGAGAGAGAAATTATCATATTTTAGTAATGGGAGAGGCAGAGGTATTCCAGTGGTGAGGGCCATATAAGATCCTGGTATCCAAAGGATGCTGAATTGCTGATCAGGTTGGGGTCATTTAATCTGTTTGTGAAAGCCTCACAAAAGCTGACAGATTATATTGTTTCAAATCCTGTGCTCGAATTCAAGCTGGTATATCAGATCTGAGGGGCTGCTAAGCAATGAATGGCCACTAATCTGGGCTGTCAAACCAGTGGGATGGTTTAATCAACAAAGCCACCTCTGTCAGTCTTTGGAACTGCATCTTCCCATTGACACTGAATTGGCATCACAGACAATATGACCCAGACAATGATTAAGCAGCAGCACTGCTCCCAGAGCTGCTCTTTCAGTGGGGGAATAAGCAGTCCAAAAAGAGGAATAGGCCTTTAAAAAAAATAATTTATACAACAAAGCCATGTAAACCCCAACATAAATGTCTGACACGTCCAGTGCACAGGAGAATCCATACTAATGGTTAGAAACCTTAATTTCACAACTTTTCAGCCTGTTCATGTAGCAAGACCTCCCACCCTATTAAAATGTTTCATGTGGGTCCACACATATGGTTTTGCTTCTAACCATGGTACAGTCCCCTTATTCAGATCACTAGCTCTGGAGAAATATTTCCCTAGACTGATGCTGACCTTGAAGGAGGAGAACCAGCCACTTTCATTTTGTGAAATCATTCCCTGACCATGTGTTTAATAAGATCTCCACATCTCACGCTCTGGGGACCCTGCACCATGCCTTAGTTTTCAGCATAATTTAAAAGTGCAGAAGCGGGGAAGCTGTGGCACAGTTCTAGATTTCAAGGGGAAAAAATTCAAGTATTTTATGATCTTCCGTTATCAAAATGTGCCTCTAACAGGAAAAACCACTGGATTGGAGCCAGAGCTTTAGTCAAATTGATCAAGCCAAAGAAAGAGGCTACAAAGGAGCGACTGATATCATCCGTGGAGAGTCCTCCATGGCACTCTGAATCCACAGAGACAGCATCCTCTCCATCTGCTTCTCAGATACTCAAGCATCAGCAGGAGAGTCTGGATAACACCTCTCTGGGGTCAAACTCTATGGAAGAGAAAGTGAGCCACAATGGAGCTTCAAACAAAGGTATATGTCTGGCTTAGAGAGGTAGTTAATGAAATAGAAGTCACACACTAGGCATTTTATTTGCTGGGAAGGCTTAATAGGCATGATTCTTATATAATATATTATGTCACCATGTGTTATACCCTTTTAATATTAAACCAGTATTTATATTTATTAGTTTTCCTTATCTGTGACTTGTTTTTCAGTTTCACATTTTCCCTGCATATGTGGCATGTTAGTTAATAAGATGATGGGCAAAATTAAGTTAGCTTGCAAAACGAAAATAAAGTCCATCTGTGAAACTATGCAATTCACTAGCCTTTTCTGTTGTTAAAGTTATTGGTGTGGTATTGTCTGGCACCAGCAGAGGGCACTCTCAGAAAATAAATGCAAGAAGAGTAAAATAATTTTAATTTCTAATAAATGCCTATTATTTGTGGAGACAATGGAGTGTTTCCATTTGTAGTTGATTTAAGAGTTTCCTAATGCAAAGTTATAACAAGTGATTTCTGTGATGTTGCAAAAATGTGATATAAAAGGCATATAATTTTGTGCATGTATATGTAGTGTAGTGTGGTGTTTTTGTGTGCAGTTGGGAGAATTATTTTGTACAATAATCAGATGTTCTCAATAATGCAGAATTTTAATGGAAACCCCCACAAAATTAATGAATTATTAACTTTGCAAAAAAAAACAAAAAAACCCTCCAGCCTTCAGTGCTGCTACTGAGATCGCTCAGATCTGCCTCCCTTTAACTTTTTGTCCTCTAAGAATATTTTTCAGGGAACAACTTTGAGGGTCTCAACACCTTACACTCATGGTTTCAGGCTGGGTCTGAGGGAAGAACGGAGGGCTCCATTATTACAAATGGCAATTTAGAAAAGTCTTTAATTGTTTTAATTCTTCTCCTCCCACACCGTTCTGCATGGTCTGTGATCAATTTACAATGAAAAGGCATATTTAAAATCATCTGTATCTTAGCACTGTGTAATTCCAGAAAATGTGAAATGCAATCTGTGTGCATCCAAAGCTCCCACTGACCAAAAGGAAAGTTTGAGATGAGCAAGAAATGTAGAGTCAGGCCCCTTCAGAGTGCCAGGGACTCCATGAAGTCCTTTAAGGACGTCACTGTTACTACTGATTTTACATGGAAGGTGCTCAGATCCTGCGGTGGTGGACATCTGTATAAAACCCTAAGTAATCTGTATATGGTACCACTAAGTAATGTATCGATGTACATGAATTATATCGTGTGTGTGTGTGTGTGTGTGTGTGTGCCAATAATGTCATCCGTGATATAAACTGTATTAAAACATATTATATAATGTATTTTAATACATTTTATATCACGGATGACATTATTGGCAATTTTAGGTAGAGGTTGCTCATGTGTACTGTATTAACTAATCATGAATCTGATTCCCTAAACATTATTTAGTGTTAGTTTAGTCTTTTTCATGTTTCACTGGATTGTGTTGTCACTTAGCTGTTTTAAGACATTTTAGTTATATTTCTATTTTTTTGTTCACTATTTTTCTTCTTCTTCTTTTTGGAATACCTGGGTGATGATAATTTAGCTGCTCAACGCAAAAAGATTGCCTTTTTGAGAAGCAAAAGCAAGGACAAAGAAAAGTCTCCTAAGTCTCCATCGAATCATCAGTTTCTCACTAATCGTCTGCGGTTCTGGTCTTCTTCCGACATCCCATCCTCTCCTAATGAAACTCTTTCTTTCTCGGAAATGGGAGATTTCTAACACCTTGTCTTTATTTTCATATATTTCTCAAGTTTAAAACAAAAAAACCCACATGCTTAAATGAACACACACATTGGTACAAACACTCAGCATGTCCTTAAAATAAACTAAATACAAGCACAGATTAGTGAATGTGGACTTAATTTTTTCAGTAGAAGATGAATCATTATTGCACACTATGGATCATTTCTTCAATGCAGTATACTTTTAGGGGACCTCATGACATACAGTATGCGTATGTATACTGGCTGTGGTGCACGTTATAAGTAAGTGAAGTTGCTGTGCGCTTCATTGTCTTCTTGCAATCACAGACTTGCATCATGTCCAGTTGAAATGTGGAAATTGCTTTTGCTATGCTTCCTACAATGTATTATCACTACTAAAATACGAAGCTAATATATAAGCACGCTCAAATCTTGGAGATTTTTCCAGTGCTCTGTGCAGCTAAATTTAAGATGGCCAACTTATTACAATTTCTCTGTGCTTCCAGGCAGTCTAAATCTGGAAATATAGTGGCACTCATTAGCAATACTACTCTCCAAATGTCTCAACATTTGCAGTCTAAACATCCATTTTTAGAAGTTTTATAAGTTGGAGGGGTAAGATCTGAGCCTCTGAGAATTTGGCTTTTGAATGTGTTTTTATGTCAAAAAAGGTGATTTGATCTCTTTTAGTTGCCCAAACTCCTTACCATCTAATAGTCATTGCCTGTGAAACGAACTCATGGTCACAATCCACTTCCTGTTGGACAAGTGTCCATATCACAGTTGGTGCCCTTGTGGTCATCCTCAGCAGAAAGCCAAACTCCCCTTTCTCTCCTAGAGGTGATTCCTCCATACCAGAGCTGAGCACACTGGTATAGCAGCATAGAGAAGTTTGCACTGTCACTACCTGTTGTTTGGATTAATACAGAGCATCAGTCTCCAGGGCTATTAATTCAGCATGTTTGAAAGGCACTAAATTCATTTTTCAAAGGCAATTTGAAATATCGACTTGCATGGCAAGTTTTAGCCCATAACAATTTTTATGGCCATGCTATAAACTTATAAAAAGTGGGAGAGAGTAAAAATGGTGCAGACCCCATGCTGTAGTAGCACACACAGACTACCTCTGCTATAAAAGACATTTTTTTCTGAGAAACTTTCAGAAACAGCATAACCCAATAGTACCCTAGTCCACCTTCTCTACTACATTTTTGTTGCTGCCCTGTGCCTTTGAACTAACCAATTTTGTTTTGTCCCTGCTAGCTGTTTATTTTGACCGCCTTGCTCTGCTTTGTTTTCAGTATCTAATTACCGTTAATTAACCTCACTTTAGAAAAATTTAGGAAACCAGAATCTTGCTTCTCATCAAGGCTGTTTTCTAAAATGAAGGCTTTACATTTTGCTCTGTTTTATTTGATGTGTATCAGCTGTGTTAATTTGGGGGTTTTAATACATTCCACCTCATCACTGGAAAAAAGCCTTTCTGTCCATCTAGGGGTGTTTAATATTTTAGCAGGCAGTATTTGTTGTTATCCCAAAATGCTGTTTAAGAAATCAGTGCATTGAAGGAGGAGAGTTTAAACCCTCTGAAGAGTCTGACTCTTATCACAGCAGAATTCTGTATGGACAGAAATTATATCTTCTCATGAATCCTGTTAGGTGATTTTAAAATCAGGAATCTTTGTTTTGAATATGGCTTTGACTTGTCAGTATATCAAAGCTTTATTCCCTTTTATTACTGAAGCAAGTGCTTATAAAATGTACCTTAAGGCATTTCATATCCCACTTATTTTTTCTGCTTTCATGTCTTTGCTCCCATGTCTATCCTCTTCCTTTCACAATATGTGTTGCATGTATAAAAAACAACCTTCCTACTGACACTAAATGAGCCCTTGTCACTCCTAAGCTCCCTAGTGAGCAGACATATGATTGCAAAACTGGTTACCGAAATCTCTTCCCCAAGAGTGAACTGGTTCTTGAAAAGCTTGCAAAACTAGCGCCTCTGTTGTGTGTTTTTGTGTGTGCCTGCTTGTTGTGTCTATATGAAAGTGGATAGATACATGTTTGATTGTGTTGTCCTCTATTGCCTCATTTATTTACCTCTTTCTCCCCTACTCAGCATTAATGGATCTAAAACAAAACCGAATTTCCCAACGTGGAGGCAGCAATGATAATGTTGAAAATTCAGCAGACTCTGCTACTAAGCACTGCGTGGAGCTGGGTTCCAGAACTTACTCTACCTCAGCCATCCATTTGACCACTTCAAGTTCTACTCCCACTTCCAGGCACCAAAGCAAACCCAAAGGTGTGTTGTGTAAGCTAGTATTTAGTCTATCTACAGCTAGTCCAACTCCCAGTACTTGGAGCCACCACTTCACTGTAATGCAGTGGTTCCCAAACTGGGGTTCGTGAACCCCTGGTGGTTCACAAAATGTTACAGGGGGTTCTCAGGAAAAAATTCCCTAATGGCAGACAGAACTGTCCATAAGGACCCCGGGCAGCACGGGCCAGCAGCCCGGAGCCTTGGGGACGTCCAAGAGCTAAGCAGATCAAAGCAAGCATATCTATCACACTAAGGAGATTTAAACTTCAAGACTCCTTTTACAAAATAGAAAGGGAGGTGGATATTTTTTTGCTGTTTTTAAAATTAAATAGGCTGCTACTGTTTTTAAATTATTATGAAGAACAAGTTTAAGCTTTGTTGTAATGTGCATTGTTTACCTGGACTGCTCAAGACCTGAATGCTTGTGTAGGAGGAACTCTTTGAGTTGGCTTCTTAAATACCTTCATGCTGTTTCACATCTGATACTCCTTGATGAAACATAGGAGCCAGAGGCGCCAGTATGGGGGGTGATGAGGGTCACATGACGCCCCCACATCAGCACGCCTCCCTGTGGGTCCCTGCCCTTTTTTTCCGGTGGCCTCCCTGGGCCCCCCACTTTTCTAGCAGTGCTCCCCCAGTCCTTGTGGTGCGTGGGGGCTTTGCTCCCTCATCCCTTTTTTCTACTGGCACCTCTGATAGGAGCCTTGTCTTATAACAGGCTTAATCAAAAGTGATACAAGCTACAGAAGTGAGATCTTGGAAGAGTGTTGCCATTTTCATAACATAATAAAAATACTATAATGATAATAATAGTGTGTAATAAGCATGTCATAAAAACAACTTTATATGTCCAAGATCAATGCTTTTATAATTTATCCTGAGGTAAGGGAGAAAATCCATGGAAATGTTCATTTTTAGGAGGGGGTTCATGAGACTTGACATTTTAGTGAAAGGGGTTCGCGGGTTGTTAAAGTTTGGGAACCACTGCTGTAATGTGACCTCCCATCATAACAGATACTGCAAGGTACATAATAGGCCTTCTACAGTTACAGAAGCTCAGCACATGCTATAATTAGAGCCCTGCAAATCCATGGATATCCGCTTCATATCTGTGGATAGCCAAATCCCCGGATGCAGATATCCATGGACCATTTTTTGTGGATAGTGGATCGGATGCGGATACAACTGCGCAGGGCTCTACTCACTGGCGGCGCCTGCCCCGCAGTATCCAAATGAGCAGCCCGAGGAGTGACGTGTGCTTGGGACCAGCGGCCAGTGGCTGGGATTGGGTGGCAGTCCAGAGTCAGGGCTCTCCAGCACCCACTCGCTGCGCTGTTTCCTGTCCAGCAGCTCGGGTCCCTCAGGCAGCGCCAGCGTCCCCACTATGACTCGTCCTGACAGCACTGGCCGCGCTCCTGGCCCGCTGGCTCCGGCCACAGGGATTGGAGCAAGCAGGGCCCCAGCACCTCACCCCTTCGCCCCACTTGATGCAACACGCACTGCTGCTGCCATCACTTGCGAGCCCCTGGGAGCAGCACACAATGCGACGCCCATTCCCTCCAACCCCCGCACCGTCCCTTCTCCTCAAGACCCTGGCCCTGCACCACCCCTTACTCCCAGTCCCCGTCCTAGTGCCGCCTCCACCCTGCAAGACCCCACCCCCCGCTCGCTCATCTCCGCTCCCTCCTCCACCCTCCCTTCTGCAAGAAGGCTAGCAGATCGTAGGTTGGCTGCACGTTGATTCTGGTGGATGAGGATTGGATGCGGATCCACATTTTTGTATCCACGCAGGGCTCTAGCTGTAACACAGTGGTCCCTTTGATAAGTTATAGGTAGGGCCCTACCAAATTCACAGCCATGAAAAACATGTTACAGACCATGAAATCTGGTCTTTTTTGTGTGCTTTTATCCTATACTATACAGATTTCACGGGGGAGATCAGCATTTCTCAAATTGGGGGTCCTGCCCCAAAAGAGTTGCAGGGGGATCACAAGGTTATTTTAGGGGGGTCATGGTATTGCCATCCTTACTTCTGGGCTGCCTTCAGAGCTGGACGGCCAGAGAGTGGCGACTGGTGGCCGGATGCCCAGCTCTGAAGGCAGTGCCCCGCCAGCAGCAGCGCAGAAATAAGGGTGGCAATATCATACCATGCCACCCTTACTTCTGCACTGCTGCTGGTGGCGGTGCTGCCTTCAGAACTGGGGTCCTGGTCAGCAGTCACCACTCTCCAGCTGCCCAGCCTCTGAAGGCAACACCACTGCCAGCTGCAGCACAGAAGTAAGGGTAGCAGTAGTGCCAGGGCCGGCTCCAGGCACCAGCTTACCAAGCAGGTGCTTGAGGTGGCCACCTCGGAGAGGAGCGGCACGTCCAGCTGTTTGGCGGCAATTCGGCGGACGGTCCCTCACTCCTGCTCGGAGCGAAGGCCCTCCCGCCGATTTGCCTCCGCAGATCACGATCGCGGCTTT